CTAAATAAATGGTAAGATATACCATTGTTTATGAATTTAAATACTTAATATTTTTAAGGTGACTATTTCCTACATTGATTTAGAGATTGATTAAACACAGTTTAAAAAACCCACAGCTGTCCTTTTTTTTTTTTTTTTTTAAGAAATTTGATCTTAAAACTCAAATGGAAATGATGCAAAGGACACAGAATAACCAACAGAATCCCGAAAGAGAGTACATTTGGAAGATTCAGGTTTCACATTTCCTGACTTTAAAACTTACAATAAAATCACAATATTCTAGACAGTATGCTACTTGCATGAAGATACCCTTAAAAGGTCAATGGAATAGAATTGGATCAGAAATCCCACATTTATGATCAGTTGATTTTGACAAGGATGTCAAGACAATTTTATGAGCCAAAAATAGTCTTTTCAATAAATGGTGCTAGGACAGGTGAATATTTACCTACAAAAAGAATTAAAATGGACCCTTACCTCATAGCATATACAAGAATAAACTCAAAATGAACCATAAAACTAAAATTATAATTATCATTAAGAATAAGAACTAAAATTATAAAGGTCTGAGATGAAAACAGGAATGAATTTTCATGATCTTAGATTAGTAAAAGATAGATATAAAACTGAAAGTACGCCTGTAATCTCAGAAGATCAGGAGACTGCAGAAGGAGCATTCTGAGTTCAAAGCCAGCCTCAGCCACAAGGAGGTACTAAGCAACTCCAATGAGACCCTGTCTCTAAGTAAAATACAAAATAGGGCAAGAATGTGGCTCAGTGGTCAAGTGTCCCTGAGTTCAATCCTTGGTACCCACTCCCACTCCTCCCCTGCAAAATAAATAAATAAATAAATAAATAAATAAATAAAGCACAAGTGACAAAAAATATAGATAAATCTGACTTCATCAAAATTAAAAAAAATGTTCATTGTTCAAATACACTTTCAAGAAAATAAAAAGACAAAAAAGTTGCAAATCACATCTGACAGGGAACTTTTAACCAGATTATATAAAGAACTTTTACACTTTTACAACTCAAAAGAAAGTGACGTAATTAAACAATGGGCAAATGATCTGAACAAACTATCCAAAGCAGATATCAAGTGACCAACAAGGACATGAAAGATACTCATCACTATTATAAAACAAAAACCACAGTGAGACCTATTTTTATACATACTCTGAAATGAATATAATCAAAAAGGTAGGCAGAAAGAAGTAACAGTAAGGTTGTAGAGAAAATGGAATCTCTAAAACTGCTGATGGGAATGTAAACTGGTGCACCCACTTTAGAAAGCAGTTTGGCCATTCCCCATAAAGGATAAACTCAAATAGAATTAAACATAGAATTACGTTATGATGTAACAGTTTTACCCCTTGGTATATACCTAAGAGAAATAAAAACATTCATACAAAATTGGACACAAATATTTATAACAGCATTATCCATAATAGTCAAAATTAATACAACTTAAATGTTCATCAAATGTCCATCAACTATAAATAGATAAGCAAAATGTAATATGTCCATACAATGGACTATTATTCAGATATAGAAAGTAATGAAATAGTGACACATGCCACAGCAAGTATGAAACTTAAAGACACTGTGCTTTGTGGAAAAAAAAAAAAACAGTCACTACTGGTCTCATATCGTATCCTTCTGTTTATGTGAAATATACAGAATAAGCAATGTATAAAGGCAAAAAGTTGATTAGTTATTGCCTTGGGTTGGAGGGTGGGTGAGAAATGGGGTTCAGAGTTTTCTGTTGGGATGATAAAAGTGCTACAAAATAGATTGTGATTATATCTGTGTATCTCTGTACCAAAAACATTGAATTGGGCAAATTACATTTATAATTAATACAATATTTGACTTATATTTTAATAAAATGGCTACATAAGGATATTTAGGTATCATTTCACATTTCAAATCCAAACTAAATCTAAACTGCAGTAACATGATTTGAAAACCATCTATAACGTAAGGATATATCATTAAGGAGTCAAATGGATGTAAGAAAAAAGAAATCTCACTCTGTCAGGTCCACAATTGATCAGGCATTTATTAGAGTCTTGTGTTTAATAAGGACATGAGAAAATTGAATAGGATTCTGTGAAGTCCTTCAAAGTGATATTAAATTATTAGAGACTTGACCATATGAAAACCCACAAGAAATGATGGTCTAATTTAATCCAGAATAGGGGGAGAAGCATAGTTAGTTGTTTGAGCTATGTAAGGGCTAAGTAGTATATAAAATCTTATTATAAGAGGAAATGAACTAGCTCTACACCATTCATAAAAGGGATTTGATTAAGTAAATTTGGAATAAATTGAGACCAGATAAGTTTACATTACACATTAATTTGATGAGGGTGCTTATTTATGGAAAGATGATAACAAGACGTTAAAAATCTCTTCTAGAAACATTTAAGATTAGGCGATATTGATGATTCTAGGAGTTTAAAGATCATGAAAAACATCTAATTTTTTTTCTGTGTATGTAAATATTAGGATTCAAAGAAATACCTATAAAATAATTACAACTAGGGGAACTTCCTAGCAAAAGGACTAGAAGGAAATAAACCAACAGATTTGAATAGTTCTTACCCTCAGTTTGAGAGTTACTGCATATTGACCTTTTTCCCTGTTAATTTTTATATTTCCCATACTTACATAAATATTCATAATTAACAAGTAAAGCTTTGAAATACATGTAGGATATGTGCAATGTGCCTTGGAGTATGCATCCGGGTCCTTCCTAGATACTGTAACATTTGAGCACATTTTTTTCCCATAGGCAAAAATGTTTACTTCAGGAGAAAAGATTCTGTGTATGTTCCACTTCCTTAGTTTTTTTCTGATTTGTTCAGTCAACATGATAATGCTATTGTTAACTTATTTTGAACTTATTATTTTTCACCAAAAAGATCTTGCATATTATGTATCCTCAAATACAATTTTAGTGAGAATTCCTTGCCCCTTGTTTTATTAAGTGATTATGTGGGAGATATTTTTAATAGGAAACTATTTCACAAAGCATGCATTTTACCACTCATATTGCTTAGATAAAAAGAATCTAGAAAAAGAAAAGGTTAGTTGACTGCTTCTAGTGTGCTATGGTTTAATTTAATTTTATAGTGCCTTTGGCTTATTTTCCTTTGTTGTTCTCAATGCTGTTGCAACTCAGCAAGTTTTGACTGAACACTTTTTTCCCTTCAGAATTTAGAAATCTTTATATTACTATGTGTCAGACAAATTTATAAAAGAATTTTCCAAATTAATCTAAGTCCATAATTCAGCATTATTTGCAGAATCTCTATTTGCAGACCTTAGGTAAGCAAGCCTGTTGCAGAGTATACACATAATCAAAATGTGTGCTCTCTATATCTAGCTTCTTTCTTTCTTTTTTTGGGGGGGTACCTTTCATCAAAAGTTTTATTTCATTTTTCTACATGGGTTTTAAGTTTGGTTTGGGGTTAGTCAGCTTTTGTTTCTGTGACCCAATTACCTGACACAAACAACTTAAAGGAGGAAAGGTTTATTTTATTTCATGGCTTCATTGTTTTCACTCTGTGGTCAGCATGGACCTGAGGTGAGGCAGAACACCAGAGTGGAAGGGCTCAGTGGCATAGAGCAGTTCACCTCAAGGCAGCACAAAGCAGTGCAAGAAAAAGAGTAGGAAGGCAGCTATGCTCACCACTATACCACCATAACCCAATTGAGTCAAATGTATGAAATTTGATATATCATGAGCTTTGTAATGTTTTGAACAACCAATAAAAAAAAGAAAAAAGAAAAAGAGTAGGGGTGTGGGAGAAGGGCCAGGTACAGATAAAGTCCTCAAGGGCATGCCCCAAAGACCCATTCCTTACAATGAGGCCCACCCCCTACAGTTTCTACTGTAGATTATTAATTTGCTGATGAGGTCAGAGCCCTCATGGTCTGATCACTTTTTTTCCGGAATCCTCACCTCTAAATATTGCTGTATTAGGAATTAAGTCTTTAACACATGGAATTTTAGGGGCCATCTCAGATCTAAATCTAATAGATGTCATATTACTGACTATGTAGTAAAATTTACTCTATATACATTCTTTTTGCTAGAGTTGTAATCTTCAACCAATTCAGATTTCTAGACTTCACCTCTGTCTATATTTATGGGACAGGATCCTTGCATATATTTGTTTTAAAAAGTTTCCTGCATTAAAAGCAATCAGGCCTGGTATGGTGGCACATGCCTATATTCCCCATGGCTTGGGAGGCTGACGCAGGAGATTGCAAGTTCAAGGCCGGTCTAAGCAAATTAGCAAGACTCTAAGGACTTTAACAAGACCCTGTCTCAAAATTAATAAAAATCAAAAGGGCTGGGAATGTGGCTCACTGGTTCAGTGCCCCTGAACTTAATCCAAAAAACAAACAAACATAAAACCCAACAATTGAGATAATTTGTCTACTCTGTAAACTAGTGTTTTTTTTTTTAAACCCTAACATCTGTCTTCTTTATAAACCAATGTCTTTTAATCCCTGATGAGATTCAATCCCAGGTTTGTTTATCTGTTATGTTTATACACCAGTGTTTTAAAATCCCTGACAGGCTTTCCTATCTTTAGGGAGCTATTTAAAAATGCAAAACCTTGGCCTCACCTAACGTCAATTCATTGCAATATTAGAGGTACAGGGGCTACAGGGTATTGGAGGGCAGTGTGAGTGGATGTTAGTGTGTAGGTCTTTTTTTTTTTTTTTGAAAAGCATTACAGGTGATTTCTAATATAGAATGAGATGTAATAACCACTGCACTAGCCTGTGAATAACTGGTACCTAGGGACTGTGTATTGTTTTATCATGATTTTCCCTGCATCCGTTTTTCTATGAAGGTTCATGGAATGAATGATGGACTAGACATCTGTCTTGCATTTGGCCAACCAAGCATTGTGAATGAAATTCAGATGGGTTTGGTTCCAGATTTAGTCATGTTGGTCTTCATTTTCTTAGCACAGGTGCAGCAGTGAACAGCAGTGAGAGTCTCCCTCCATCCTCGTCTGTCAATGACATCTCCTCCATGTCCACCGACCAGACCCTGGCATCTGACACTGACAGCAGCCTGGAAGCCTCGGCGGGACCCCTGGGTTGTTGCAGGTGACTAGCCGCCTGCCTGCGAAACCCAGCGTTCTTCAGGAGATGATGTGATGGAACACACACATACACACACACACACAGACACTCATGCACACACACAAATGCAGACACAAAATGTCAAGAAATCAGAAAGGGAGAGAATCCAAGCCTAAAATTGAAACAAATCTTTCAGCCTGCTTCTTCTCCAAAGTTCTGTAATGCAGCTAAGCTCAAATGTCTATTTAACTTCTAGTTGCTCTTGCTTTGGTCTCCTTCCAGTGATGCTTATTACAGAAAGCAGATCAAACACAATTAGAGAAGCCTTTCACATAAAGTGTAATTTAAATGGCTGCAAAACCAGCAACCCGTAACTGCCCTTTCAAATGGCATGACAAGGTGTGCAGTGGCCCCATCCAGCATGTGTGTGTCTCTATCTTGCATCTACCTGCTCCTTTTGGCCTAGTCAGATGGATGTAGATACAGATCCGCATGTGTCTGTACTCATACAGCACTATGTAGAGATGCTACTGTCAGTGTCCTCAGGGCTGTCCCAAGACATCACGCACTGGGGTACCACATGGTCCATTTCATGTGATCTATTACTCTGACATAAACCCATCTGTAATATATTGCCAGTATATAAGCTGTTTAGTTTGTTAATTGATTAAGCTGTATGTCTTATAAGAAACCATGTAAAGGGGGATATATGAGGGGAGTGAGCTCTCGGACCCTTGAAGATGTAGCTTCCAAATTTAAACTGATTAAATGGCACCTGTATACCAATTTATAGAAAGAACATATGTGATGCTTATGTACAGTGTGTGTGTGGGGAGGGGTAACAGTTTTCAGGTTCTGAATGGTTTGACCTTTAGAAAGAAGGTGTGAATAAAGGCTGAGGACCTTTTCTCAGACAGCAAACAGGTTGCAGGGAGCAGAGAGTAGGGCTGAGGTGTGGACCAGAACCGAAAGGAAATTATTGCCCAGGTGCTAGGGGGCACCACTGTCCATATTTTAAAGAGTAGACCCCCATTTGTCATTTCTAGATTACATGTCATGACAGGAGGCTGTAGGAGAGTGGCAGGTGGTGAGGCAGGGTCATCACATACACTTTGGAAGGTAAGAATCCTTCCCAGAAACAAAGTGGAATTGCCTTCCTGTGACTTACTTAGCAGAACACAAGCCCACCTAGACTCCTTTCAGATTGTAGGTTGACTTTTCTATTTGTGGACTGCTTCCCAGATTCATATCCTGCCAAGGTTTTATTTTGAGAAGAAATACTGCTTTCCTCTTCTGGAAGAAAAATACAATTAACTAGTTAAAATAAAATCCCCAAAGCACAGGGTGATCCTTAGATTAGCATTTGAAAACATCTCCAGAGACATTGGTATTTCTCAGGAGTTTCCCTGACTCCTTTATATGACTAATGTTTCATGTTTATTTATTTATTTTCATGAGTTTGAACAATCCAAGAAGGGCTGATAATCAGAAATTTGTACTGCAGTAGATGTGAGAGCAATAACTGCCACAAGTTACTGCGGCTAAATGGTGTTAGCAATATGAGTTTGTCTCAAAGCCATGAAGCATTAATGTCGATGTTTAGCAAAATCATCTGAATTTAGTTTCAATTAAATGAAAGTGCTTTTCCGAGCACCGATGGAGGCACTGTGAAACCTCTTGGTTATATACTCGGCAATACCAGTGTGACTTCTCAGCAATAATAGGAACGAGACACAGGCTTCCCTTCTTTTTTCACTTTGGTGAAGTACCATCACAGTTATTTGCACTCTAGCCATTTTGGTGCTCACCAATGTGGTGATATTTCACCTGAAAAAGAAGTGAAACACATGAAATGGATGGTTGGTGAGTGTGATATGACTGGCAAATGGAAAGCCCCACAGAAACAGAGAGAAGGAGAATGCCATTACTCTGCAAACTGCCTTAATACAATAACAGAGAAGCTGTCTCTTTTCAAGCAATAGAGTCCCTAGGGACCTGCACCCACCACTACCACCACCACCACCACCACGTGAGCTGTGCTTCCTTTGTGGGATTGCTTCACACACTAGGATTCCTTATAAGGGGCAATTTGCTTAAAATGGAGAGAACATCATTAGATTGCACAGCTTATCCCCCGGAATAAGAATGTCCCACTCTATCTTGCTACCATTCTTTTTGGTTAATATTTCAGATGACCTGGGTCATATTAATGCCCCCTCCTTCATATGAGCTCTGTTACTTTTCTTTCTGTTGAATTCCTTTCTTTTAAACTTCTTTTATTTGTATCCATACTCTCTACTTATCCTCTTCCTCTGTATTTTGTCCTTGATATATCTGTGGCCTCACCCCCCAACCCACACACACACTTTATACCACATGGGATTAAGTGCAGAGAGCAGACAGCTGCTTGAAAGACACAAGTCTGGAGGGGAATTTCATCAGTCACAGATGACACCAGACACAAAGGGAGATCTCCAGCAGCATCCTCAAAGATCTTGACAGGAAAGTTATCTATCTATCTATCTATCTATCTATCTATATTTTTTTTTTTTTGGTAGATGGACACAATACCTTTATTTTATTTATTTATTTTTTATGTGGTGCTGAGGATCGAACCCAGGGCCTTGCACGTGCTAGGCAAGTGCTCTACCATTGAGCCCCAGCCCCTGCCCCAGCCCCAGCCCCAGAAAGGTTATCTTTCATTTTGCACAAGCAATGGGATTTTGCTTCTTTTATTCACGCAGACCAAATCTGTCAAGAGCTAGACATTTCCCCACCCTTGCTATTGTAGCCTTCCCTAAGCTCCACTAGTCTTTGATCTCCAGTTCCTTCAATGGGTCTTGGCGCTGGTTACCTGTAGTGATAGATCTGTTATTGCCAAGAAACTTGGATTTAAGCAGCATTTACAAATAGAGGTAAGGGTTTGGCCTCTGGACTTCTTGTGGGATTAATTTTACTAGGTGACCAAAGCAGGAAAGATGAGGGGAGATGGGACAACAAAGAGAATCACCACTTTAAAAACCCCCCACTCCTTCCTGTCTTAGGTCCCCTTCGTTATGATATCTTTAAAAGATAGTTATGTTATGGTCAAATTCACAGAATATATTATGTTCTGCATTGTTTTCTTTTCTTCAAAATAGAAAAAGCACCAAATATTTGCTATGTAGTTACTTGTTATTCCAAAAAGATAGATGGTCTTACCTTTTGGGCAGGAAAGTGTCAAGTCACCTGAACTATATTTCTACTAAAAGTGGAGATCCTGCTTATGGTGGGGGCTCATTTTGGAACAGGAAGTTGGTACTCTGAGGCATCTAACCTTCTGTCTCCTCTCTAGGCAATTGGTTTCACAGTAATTCTTAATAAAATATTATGTAGTGTTCTGCAGAAGGGATGGCTGGTACCCATCTGTAGAAAGAATTAAATTGTGAGAGTTTAACTAAATCACCACCAATTTAGACATGTCTTTGCTATTTTTATATGTGTTTGGGGGCTCAGTATGCTCAGTTTTACAAAGGGATACATTAACCTTACAACAAAAATTTTTATTGTGAAATAAAAGCTGAAACTAAGATTTCACCATCAAAAAAAAAAAAAAAAAAAAAAAAGAATCTAATGTCTGAGCTTTGTGGTGGCCCAGGTCAATTTCCACCAATTAGAGGAGGCTATTTAATCAATAAAGCTGGCCAAGAAGCTGGATACTTTCTCTCAATCTGTTGTCATTTTCAGAAAAAATATTATCTAAAGATACTGATAACAGCTGACTGGCAAATTAGAGAATTAGTCTTGGCAAAAGGCACAATGAAACAAATGAGAATACATAAATAGTTTTGTGACCTGTCAGGGGAAAGAACAATAAAATGAATGTCTAAAAATTTAAATATTCATTGTATAACCTAAGACACAAAAAAATCTATATCTGTTCAATTCTCTTAACATATGACAATCTACATCTTAAAAACATTATGTTATGCAAGACTACTGTCAACTAGTTTTGCTGGAAAAAAGGTCTTCTGCAGCTCAGAGGAGTAAATTTGCTCTAGGAATTTTTATCCCCTCCTCTTTGGGTTTGAAGAGTAATCCCCCTCTCCAATCAGTCCTCCACACACATTTTAATTGTAAGAGTTCAACATTTTATACAGATATTATTAAACCAACCAGGAAACTCCTTTATGTAAAAACAATAAAACTGTTACAATGTAAATAGTTAAATTTGTTATTTTCCTTGTAATTACAATATACGATTTCTCCCTCTCCCTCTCTGCTCCCCCTCTCTCCCCCCACCCCTCCATTTTTTTTTTTTTGCACTTAGTTCTTTAACTGTTCACTTCAACCCATTTCTTTGGTCATTCAAATGGAAATGGAAGCCTCTCTTTATGTTTGGACTCCTGTATATCTACCTTTTGATTATGTGGGACTGATGGCCAGTATATCCTAATAGAAACAAATCTCCCAGCCCTTATCTAGCATTATCTGTTCACCTTGCCATGTCCATCTTGCAATGAGATTTAACTTGCACCTGCCTGTTATTCTGCATGATTGGACTCCAAAGACGATTACCAATGATGAGAATTGTCCTGTGTCCATTGTTTATAAAATGTACTTAAAGCACACACATATGCACACACATTCTCACACATACTCTTACAGTTTTAGGTCAACCCTGGAAGTCAGAACCATACAGGTCCAGTTTTTTTACAAGGTCTTAGAGGTGAGAACTGAAGTCAAGCAGCCAGATGGATAAAATGCAATCTTGGTGATGTCTAATAGGGATTTGAAATCATTCAAGTCATTTCTGTGTTCTTTCTCACATTTTTTCGTTTCCAATTTTTCCTTTATATTGTCTTTGGACTAGAGGAGAGCTTTGACTTCTTTTGACTCTTCGTAGGGGTTACTGATCAATATATTGTGTTTCTGTTTCATATGGATTATTAAAACTGAAGGAAATCTGATTCTATTAACATAAAACTAAATCCAAACCCAGACTTTGTTGGAGTTTGCCTGTTAACAATGGTTATTGTGATTGTTGCTGTGGGTTTTGTGTACAGACAGTAACTCTGACGGGTCGCTCATCATTTCATTTTGACCCCTGGTGAAAGAAGCTTGTAGTGTGGTCTGATTGCACCAGGGAATAAATAAGAAATGAGCAATGGACTAATTTCTCACCGTGGGTCAAGAGTGTATACTATGAATACAACCATAGAATGCTGTGTTTTCATTTGAGATTGGCGTCTTCTAAAAATAACTTCATTTATGTCATTTAATACTAGTTGTATATCTACAATTTAGTAAATTTTCTTTAAAGTAGAAAAATCAGCAAAATAAAAACAGGTCATGTTCTAGGAGTATTGAGTAAGAAAAGCAGGATTAAATTTCCTAGGTTAATTATCAGAAAATCTAATCATTTAAATATTATCCAAGAGATTTCTCTGTGTCTACATGGTAGCCAACTTTAATATCTCAAACTCTTTGGTGAATTAAAAAATGTGATTTTGTGGCTGGATGAAGGAGGAAGCCACTGATCTTGTTTAGTTTACCAGGCAGTGTTTTAATATTGAGGAGGGGCCCTTCTATTTCTATAAATAATATGTTTTATTAACAAATCAATTATTATAAAGCCTGGAAGAATAACATACCTATTCTTTGGGGTTATCATGCTTATTCTTTTATTTATTTGAGAAAAAAATAGAAACCAACAGCCTTTCAGTACCTCTGGAATAGCTCCTGTGCTACTTTCCTTCACAAATCCTTCTTTCTTAAATAATGAATCTAAAAGTGATGAAGCATAGGTACCACAAGAATAAGAAGGGAAATTGTATTCCACAGGATGATTGCACATGGAGTCAGAAGGAGTTAATGGTATGCTCTAGGTACCATAAAAGATTACCAAATATTTGGTAATTTTGACCAGGTTTGCAAGTACAAGAAGTGGGGCTATTGGGCATTACTTTTTTGAAGCAATGTATAGAACAATGAACCTAAAAGGATGAGTTTATTTGTTCAGTAGCTGCCCTAGTTATAGCCAAGGTAGAGATTTCTCATATTACAGATTCACCAAGATGATTTTTGTACATGTAATCTTCCTTTTCTGCAAGAGTTTTGAAAGGCATGCCTGGAAGACATTTGCAAACAGTGAAGCACACAAAAGGGTCCGTCACCTCTGGTCACCTCCTGTCTAGAGCCACCCTACCTTGAAAGTCTTCAGTCTTGGTACCAGACTGAATTCCATCAGCTCAACAATTTAGATCAATTTAAATATGTTGCTGAAAACGTGCTCTGGAGATTTACATTTCTGGGACACATGAAAAGTGATAACATGTGGAAAAGAATCAAATACCCTTTTAAAATTTTCTATTCCCTTTATGTCAAATATTTCTTTCTTTAAAGATGCATTTTTCCTGTTCAATAAAATCAACATAAAAAGAAGTCTAAAAGGCAACTTAGAGGATTCAAGCTTCACTCCATGGAAGTGATAATTTTCACTTCCTCATCAATGAGTTTCTGGTATTGTTCTTCATTTTACCTTGTCTGGACTCTTTCAGTTAAACCAATGGCTCATATTCTTTGCAACTCAAAAGCAGGCACAAACACTATCCATATTATAAACCCTCCACACTGCCTGCAAAACCATCTCAAATATAAGCTGTCTTCCATTTACACTTTTAAATCAGTGTTGGCAAAAATACTGTCTAAAACAATTATATAAAATAAAATTTTATAATGCAAATAATAGTATTTTACACAGGCAAAAAGAACTAATAGTATTAGAATATTTCTTTTATAAGAGGAAGATTTGCAAAATGCAATCACCTCTTCCTTAATGTTAATATATTACAAAATTGGCTCTAAGCAAGGTCTAGGAACACCGTTCTGAATTTCTAGTCTAATTTCTGAGCTATATTTTAAAACAGTTTATTATTTCACTCCAAAGACATTTATTGAACACCTTTGTGTACCTTTGTGTAGGAGACAAAATGTGTGGTCCTTATCTTCAAAAATTCAGAGTTAAGAAATCTGTATTTAAAAATAAGTGATAAGAGCAAAATATCTTTATATCATTTGCTTTCTTAAATAATAGTATTTAAATTAGTGGTATTACTTGAATCCATTTTTACTGTATGCTTTAAGCAATGAAACAGCAAATCTGCTTCTTCCAATGTTCTCATTTTGTCTAATTGTATCTAAGTACACTTAATGAATCAGCTTAAGAGAATTTTGGTATTTTCCATTATATTATGGGAGATGAAATCATTTTTACAACTTATATAAAGAACAGTATGTGTGTTTGTCTGCAGTGCAAAAGATTTGCTTTAACACATGTTTCCTATGGGGTTTGGATGCTGAGATTGAGGCTCATACTGCTGGCATCACAATATCCACATCAACAAACAAAATCACCAGGGGTACTGGTATCTCTGCAGTGAACAGATACACTGAAGCCAAATCTCTGAAATTTGTTTAGCCTATGGGTGACTGTTGGAGTCCTAAAATAACTTAAGGTATCATGCAATCATTTATTATTTTCTATAAAAGATTCAACTCAGAACATCCCTGAACATCTGCACCACAAATTTGACATTGAATCCTAAAAAATCATTCATTGATTCATGCCACAGATGTTTATTGAATGCTTCAATCTTCTAAGAACCATTCTAGGTACACACCACAGTGATGAGTTCAGCATCCCCAGACTTCTGAATCTACATTCTATTATAGGAGTAAGATAGAAGTAAGTGATAAGAACTGGAAGTAGGTTAAAAGGGTAGGGGTGAAAAAGAGATGCTATTGTCAACAAGGTGGTCAGGGCATGCCTTTTGAAGAGGTGACATTTACTCATAGATCTGAATAAAGTGAGGGAATAGCATATCAGCATCCCAGGAAGACTATTTCAAAGGGTGAGTGAGGGTCCTGGAGTAAGAGCTGGCTTGTAGAAAGAGCATAATACAGAGAACAGCAGAGTGTGTTGCAAATCAAGCAGAAGGCACAAGAAAAAGTGGAACAGCAAATGAAATTGGAGCAGTAGGCAGGATGCAGAGCATAGACAGATCTTGGGAATTTCCAAATTGAAAGATGGTTAGATTTGAACAAGGAAACAATACATCCGAATTTTCTTATTATAACTATTCCTTTAGATCCTAAATAGAAGTATAGGGAGAAGACCAAAAACAATCCAATTATCATAGGATATAACAGAAATTCAGAAAGACCTGAAGGAGCCTAGACTAGGAAGTAGATGATCTGAGAAGGATTAAGTCAGGATGTAAGTACGGATATATTGTAAAGGCAGAGCCGACAAGATTTGCTGATGGATTGATATGGTGGTATGAAAAAGAGAAAGAGAGAGAGAGAAACCAGAGAAAAGTCTAGATTATTTTTATCTAAACCATGAGATAAATGAAGGTGTAATAAGTTGTAGAACAGTAGGTTAGTGGCATATTTGGGATAAAAGTCATATTTGCTTTTGGAATTTTAGCTGCAAATTAGATATCCACATAAATAGCAGGGGTTTCTACTAGGCTGGAGTCCAAGAAGTTGGGCTGAAACATGAATCTGAGAGTAATCAGCTTGTAAATGGTATTAAAAACTATAAGTCTGTATGAAACCACTAGGGCACCAAGGGCCGCTGAGGAAGAGATGGAAGATGAAGATGCCTCGCACATCAATAAAGAGACATCAGAAACAGGGGATGTCTGTGAGGTAGGAGAATACCTGGAAAGTGTGCTGCCCTGGAAGCGATGTAAAGAAGGCATTTGAAAAATGAAAGAATGGGCAACTGGCAGAGTTGGGATGATGAGAGGGTTTTCAAAAATTACAGCATGGGAATATGTTGATGAAACTAATAGAGAAAGAATAATCTTGATAATGTAAAAGAGAAAAGGCTTTTATCTGATGGTGCAATATGCTTGAGAGTTGGGCTCTGGAATGTAAGCAGAGGAGTAGTGCTGCTTACAACAGGCAGCACCGTCACTGTAGCCGGAGGAAAGGTGGCATACACAGGAGAAATTCAGGGAAGACAGAAGCAAAGTTGCCCGTTGTGAGTGAAGAGGGGAAGAGTTTTAGAAGTTGGAAAAGTGTGAAATTGACCTGGGAAGCTGTGAAGACAGGTTTCTGGACAGTGGTGAGCCATGTCAGTTGTGGTTACATAACTGCAATTTGAGACAATCAACATGGTCCTCTTCAGTCATGTTTAATTTATTAGATGCAGGTTAGGAATAAGCAGAAATCAAAGTTAGCTTGAGATGTATTTTTTTTTTCAAATGGGTACTACAGTGCTGGGGATATGAGAAAGGGAAATTGAGAGTGGGATAAGTGATATAAGGAACCACAGGAGCTAAGCTGGTCAAGGAGGGAAGAAAGGACACCATATGATGAAAGCTAGTGAAATCTTAGCAAAGTCGATGGCTTAGACATACTTAGGGAAGTGTCTGAGAAAATTTAAAGGGACAGTGCTGAAGGGGAGTGGCCTAGAAAGAGCGCTGATTATCAGAATGGGATGTTTGCAATGAAGTCTTAGGGATGGTGCAGGTAGGTGTGGGTAGCATGAGGTGTGAAGTACAGCCCCAGGTCCAGGCAGGGAGGAGTGAGATTTTTTTGGAGTGGCCAAGTTGGTGGATGGAGAAGGAGGAGAGATAGGAGAAACCATTGGTTAGGAATTAAGATATTCAGTAAATGATAAGAAATAATAGAGACTAGAGCAACTTCTAAGGTTTGGAAGGGTGTGGTATGCAGGTTGTGGGTAAAGAAACCACTCGGAGGGACCAAGAGATCTTTACTGCAGCAGTGCAACAGAGGAGAAAAAGAAAGAGTGAGGAAAGAGAGAAGAAAAGGGGGGAGAGCAGAGAGAGAGAGAGAGAGAGAGAGAGAGAGGGAGAGAGAGGGAGAGGGAGAGCGAGAGCAAGAGCAAGAGAGCAAGAGAGAGAGGGGCCCGGCAGGAGGGAGTTTTTATAGCCCAAATCTAATGGGGTCTCTGGGTCTGCAAGCTGCCTTGTTGGCACAAGGCGGGTTAAGTGTTCAGCCTTGAATGGTGGGTTGAATGTTCAGCCTTGAGCAGGGGCTTGGGCATTTGGGCTTGAAGAAAACAGGTGATAAAGAACCAGACAGAGTGTTTGAGTGGCCAGGTCACCCTGCAGCTAACTTTGTTTGGCATGCCCTGCAGACAACTCAGTTCAGCCTGTCCTGCACCTAACAGGCTGTAAGGGAAGTGTTTTCTTCAAGGGCTGACCATGTCTCAGAGAAAAGGATTTAGGGAAGGACAATGACAGCTGTATAATCCAGACATAGAAGGTAAAATGGAAAGGTCTGAGGAGTGGAGAGGGGATCAGAGGTTAGAGTAAGTGAGAGAAGACACTGAGCAATAGGGAGATAAGCATACAGATGCCGGAGAATGATATGGGAGTGTAGCAACTGGCATCAGGGAGAGAACGTGAGAACCCTGGTGTATTGGTTCCTTTCTTGTTGCTACATTAGAATACCTAATACTTGGTAATTTAAAAAAAATAAAATAAAAGTTTATTAAGACTCATGGTTCTGGAAGCTGCTAAGTCCATGATCAGGCAACATATCTGGTTAGGGCCAGGTACTACTTTGTAAATATGGTGGACATTGGAAGAGCTTGCAAGTAGGTGTGTGTGGAAGAGAGAAAACACAGCCTCACTTTATATCAACCTGCCCTCACAGTAACTCATCTAGTGCCACCTGAGCAGAACTTCCTTACCAACTTGAGAGTAGACCCATCCCAGGAGGTAAACTTTAAAGTCCAGGAGTTAAACTTTCTTCATGACCTAATTTTCTCATCAAGGATCCACCTCCAACACCACCACAATGGTAATTAAATCTCAACATGAGTTTTGGAGGGAACAAATAAATCATGGCACCTGGAGATCCCTTTGTTGTGATTCATAGTCAGTCAATTGTGAGGTGGCAGGAAATGAGTATTTTGAGAAGAGAGGGATGAGATGGACATGACAAGTTCACAGGACAAGTAGGATGCTCAGAGCTTTCCTTAGCGGTCAGAGGCACAATCACTCAAAGAAAATGGTGACCATTGGGTTCTCCATTCTAACAAGTCCATATTCTCCTGATATCCTTCCTAAGAAAGGTAAACTTTGTTGTATGAACTGGTCACCTGAGCTTAGCTCTTAAGGGGCCATATGGGTAGCCACTAGATATGGTTTAAAATAAATAGTACTTTGAGTTCAGTGGATTATATTACACCTATAATCCCAGCCATTCAGGATAGGAGAATCATAACTTGGAGATCAACCTCAGCAACTTGGTGAGACCCTGTCTCAAAATAAGTTAAAAAAAATAAAGCTTAGGATTCATACAGTGATAAAGCATTTGCCTAGCATGTGTGGAGCCCTGGGTACAATCCCACAGTACTACAAAAAATTGTATCATTTAGTCCTGGACCTGAGTCATAGAAACCATACTTTCCACTAGCTACACTTTCTGCTTAAGATCTACAGAAGGTTCCCTGGGTATCAGCTGTCTAGGGAACTATTCGTTTTCCAAGCCACTTCTCGGGAAGTGGCCTTTAAGCTGGGCAGCTCTAAATTTCAGCTCATTCCCCACTTGTACAATTAAGAGGACCATAAAGAGAATAATGAAATAGACCTGTGGGAGCCACTCAGCCAGTCCTCTTTTCCTGTGGTTTGTGAGTTCAAACAAGGCAAAACGTTTCCTGCTCTGCTGCTTTCTTTAATCAGAGCGAAGAAGCCACCCTGGTCCTAAGGCTCTTTCTGGATCTTAGGGTATGCTGCTGATGAAGTGAGATACACACTGACATCCCTACATCACAGACTTGATAGGCCATTTCTGTTTCATTGCAAAGGCTCCCCAGGGTCTGCCCTTACAGAACCTTTGCACCTGCTTTTGCATGGCCTAGGAAAGCCCCTCACTAAAACTGCCACCCTGGCTGATGACTTCGGGTTCATCCTTCATGTCATGTCTCAAGATCTTAGCTCTGCAGTGTCTTTCATAGCTTCACCTCTGTGACCTCTTACTTACCTTTCTAGTACATCATGTAATATATTCATTGGAGACCAGGTATCCCAGGGCACCCTTCTATTCACCAATCCATATCCTTAGATACTTCCATTCTATTTTACTTAGTACCTTTAACAACCAACACCATCTTCAGCATGGACATGGACAGTTGATGAAGGACAGTTGCAGGTAATTTCTCAGACATTATCCTCGAGCATGATGTGATTATTTCATCTCAGGGCTGAAAGTGTGCTTTGGTTGTTCTTTCTTTGCCATCAACCTGTGGAAGCTTATTTGGGAATAGATAAGATTAGAGACCCTGGGACCAGGATATAATTATATCCTTTGCTGGTGAACACAATATTCTTGCTGCTGCTGAGTATGACAAATTACTGAAGCCAGAACCCTACTCTGTTCTCTAGGAGCTGAAATGCTTTTGCACTAAGAATGTTTTGAGGCCCAGTAACTGTTTATTAAGCACTTTCTATCACAGTGCAAGGCCCTGTGATAAGAACTTCATGGATCACACTTCTTCCTCACAGAAATTTGATAAGGGAGGCACTAATGTTATCTCTACTTTCAAAGCAACCAAACAAACAAATTCAGGTTTATAAGTATTATGTAACTTGTGTAAAGTCTGTACAGCTGTCAAGTGCAGAGCTGGGGTTTGAACCTAGGTCTCTAATTCCAAATTAGCATGCATGTCCTTCTCTATGAAGTTATTCAAATTTGGGTGCAACTCTGCTAGATAGGGAAGTCTGGGGTTTGTGGCTGAGATTGCATTCTGTAAAGCTAGCCTGAATTTCAAAGGCCACATTATTATATCTGTGGTGTACACTGTCCTACCTGGGAATGATCTAGGTTTTTGTTGTTGTTGTTTTTTGTTTTGTTTTGTTTTTCGAAGGAAGCCCCAGCTAGTGAATAAATAAGACTGTCTTTATTTAAATTCTACTCAAGAGTTTTTCATAATTTCATGATATGTAACATACAAAGTCAGTTGGCCTGATGTCGCACAGATTATATTTTCAATACTCTACAAAAGATACCCAGCCATTTAGTTTGACAAGTGAAGATAACATAGTAGGACCAACATGGAAGCAAAACCTTTCTCTTGAGCTTGTAATCTAGAATCCTTTTAGTTACATAGTTTCAAAGAATCTGAATTAGGACATCCAAGTAGTATAAACAGGATATAGCAAATAAACCCTTCATGACAACTACTGTGTATCCTTAACTCATCTCAAAAATTACTCTTATGTCATTTTGCAGTTGATAATTTCAAGGCTTTTAGCTGAATTAATAGAACCAGATGCACATGCTGCTCATGGACATTGTCATGGAGATCCATAAAATTAAGGAAAGCATCCCTCATAAATCAAAGGTTGAAAACCAGGAAGATGATTATGTGTTATTTCCAAAAATCATTAGTAATGCTTTGCCTTGGCACTTCATTTGCCAAAAAAGAAGGGAGAGGGAGGGATTAAAGATCAATAAGATGCAATTCTGGTTCTTTTAGAAGATACAGTTATGGATAGAGCTATCAGCTGAGTGAACCAGCAGGTACTAGAATAGGCCTATTACCTATTCCCCTTAGGAATAACAATGCCCCTTTGTAGAAGTGATTTCCACTTCACAGGCCAGAAAACAGACTCAAAGAAGTTCAGTGACTTGTCCTTGCTGAACTGCACAAAGCCTGGTGAAATGCTTATCTAGATCTCAATTGCCTGCTATTTCCACTGTACCTTGCTGCCTCCTGAAATGTTTCTTATTTGGCAACAAAAATAACAAGCTATAGGAGATTCTAAAAGAAATAGCTACAAATTGGGAGCACAAAAGTAAACTTACTCTGCTTTGAGATTCTAGGAAGCTTCATAGAGAACTAACAATGATTTGGCTCTTACCAGAAGACTGGACTGTGCAGGAGATAAGGAAGACAGATAAGGAAACAGAAAAAGCAGGTGGGAAGTTCCAGAGGTGTCAACTGGTATGACAAGTGTAACAGGAAGTGGTAGGAAATTATAAACGAAACTGGAAGTCAGAGCAATTTTATGTGAAGGACTTTGTCTTGGTCTAGGGAAAGTCATCAAAGTTTATTAGAAAAGTCAAACTATGTTCAGATGGGTGAGTCAGAAAGGCAACCTGCAAATAAAGATAATAAAGGGTATATGCTCTGGGTAAGAAGCTCTCATCAAAAGATGAGGGAAACTGACCAAAGAAACAGACAACCTGGTGAGTGAACTGCAGACTGACAAAGGAAAAGCGAGTCCTTCCTGTATGCTAGCTGCTGTGATCAGTCTGACACAACCTATCACGTTAAAATCATAGAGCAGGTCTAGAGGAGTGATATTTTCATTATTCCAGTTACACAGAGGGAAAACAATTTGCATGGAAGGTTCAATAACAATGGGGAAATTGTAGACTACTCGAACCCAGGCAATTTGATTGCAAAACCTTTGATTTTAACTATTGCATCATATAACTTTTTGGATGAATTCAAGATTTTCATTAGATAAGACAAGGATGGGAGAAAGATGCAAAAAAAAAAAAAAAAAAGGCTGGGGGTTGGGGAGAGAATTACTGAGATTGATTTTGCCCACTTTGAATCTGAATTAGGACATCCAAGTACTGATATGGAATAGACATATGTGAATGGTGTGAAATTAAAAAAAAATTATAAAATGGGCTCACTGGGCTGCCCCCACATGCTTTCACTTAAAAAAAAAAGCCATTTGCCTGTGGCCCTGCCTGGCTTAAGTTCACAGGACATGTTACATCCTCAGCAAATGACTTCCTATCTGCAGGAGATAGGCAAGCCTAACATGCCCAAACACTAAGAACACAAGTTTCCCTGAAGTGGCAGGAGGGATGGGGGAAGAATTCTGTGACCCTTACACTGTCCAAATTCCAAAACTCAGGAAGATAAGGATAATTACCCCATCCATAAAATCTGTAAGAACAGGCCCAATTAGAATGGGTCAGCACTGACCAACGTGACCTAGAGTTGTCATGGCAGTGGGGGCTTGAAAATCTGATGTCATCCTGCTGTTAGTCAAAAGAGGTGAATCTGGGCAGAACTCTCTGAAACTTTCCTGGGACCCTTAATAAAACTGAAGGGAAAAAAGCACACTGGTGTTCTCCTCTCTGAGAGGACCCTCTCAGTTCTTGAGAGTTTCCCCTTTACCCTTTCCTATCTCCTCTAACACAATCATGCTTGTCACTCTGAGTGACATGTCTGAAATCTTTCTGACTTGATCTCAAGAATCAGAGTTTGAAAGGGGTCCTTTGTGCTACCTCAGCTGCTCCAGCCTTGTAACAGCTGTAGTTAGTTTCCTAATTGAGAAGACAGATAAAGGGTAAGTCAAGATAAAGAAGTACATATTGCTATATAGTCGCTGCTTGATACTGAAAGATCACATAAGCTTGCTCAGTGGGGAAGAGGTAAATAAAAGCAGAACATTGATAAGAATGAATGTTATAAAGACCACACTCTTTGAAAACAAATAAACACACATTCAATCTCCAAAACCACAAATCCCATAAACTCAAGTAGTCTTTATTTTCGATTATGCCTTTCTGACTTTGTGCTCTAGTGTGAGATTTATTCACCTGGTTTCCCCAAATCATTGACTGACTGGTGTGTGAAGAATTGTCTTTCCAAAAGAATAGCTTCAGAAAACTCTTGAGTTTTCTAGAAAGTTATCGTATTTGTCAAAATGGACTTTAATCATTCATGTTTTAAAATTATTGAGTAAATATGTCTTCAATATAGAAAAAAATGATATTGTTGACATTAGAAGCAAAATAGTTTGCTTCTTCCAAACTTTTTCCCCCAACTCCTCCTGGTCCTCTTCTCCCACCATCTTGCTGCAAACTGCCTTCACCATCTGTGGTGAAGAGAGACTCCCAGATGACAAGAGCCTGAGTGAAAGAAATATGTCACTAGATGATGCATACTGTAGTGGTTTCACTGAGGACACCAGTGATACCACTTCATTTCTGTCATTCAAAGTGCAATCTCTGGGAAACAGGAAAGCAGTCTCATACATGGTACAGGTATTCAAGTGAGGCATGGGTTAGAATCATCATTTCCTAACTTCCAAATAGCAGGAAGAATGTCTCCAATAACCATCCAGCATTTATAAAAACTCAGTTCAGGAGGACAGAGCAATTTGAGGCATGAATGGTTAAATAATATTCTTCACCAATTTTCCTCCTTAAGATGCATCTTGCATGGGAGATATTGCCATCTGTGAATCTGGCAAGGTAGACAGGGGTATTGAGAAAGGGACTTTCTTACACAACCTCAAAGTTATCTCACTAATTATCTGTGTTAAATTATCTCACAAAGTAAATCTGAGCTGGTCCAAGAGAAGAATTAAAAGAGCAGTTCAAATGTATCTGGTGATTCTAATGTACTTTATAAAACTATTTACATTTCTAGTTTTGGTCATGGCGAGGTCTATTGGCACAAACAGCACAGCCACAAAGTATTCTTTCGCTTTTAATAACTCATCTTATATATTTTGTATATATTTATACTTCTTCTTATCTTCATTTCCTCAACAAAAGGGGAAATAAAAATATTGATCTATAAAATAAGCAGATGATAACACAATGCCAAAATAGCTTATGTTAAGTGCAAGGGGTGAAGCTTGAAAGCAAGCTAAATTGCAACACATATCAATTTAACATTTATAGAGGAGACTTACAATAAAATAATTCTTGAGATATGCTTCTTATATTTAGTTTAGTTTTTAAAAACTACTCTATATACACATATCCAGTTGAACACTTGACAGTAGCATGATGGGGCATGATATAACTTTGGTACACATTGCAGATATGGATAGTTAATGACTGTAAATGATATTCCTTCACCAGTGAGATCTCTGTACAGCCAGGTGACCAGCCACCTGATCCCATATTGTTTCCCACCAGAATCCCCAGAGTTCTTCCAAGAGCCATCAGAGACGCAGAGAAAGCAGGCTCACTGGATCCATATCGTGTTTCCTCTCTCGGTTCTCCTGGGTTCCACTGTCAGCTCTCCAAAGGTGGAAAAAAACTGCTCCATTTCCTTCTGTAGCATGTCATTTCTTTTTTCAGCATCTTCTTTTGCACGCTCAGCATTTCGCATTTTGATTTCTATCATTGTGAACTTTTTCCTCTCTTGATCCAGTTCATCGTGGAGACTCATCATTTCTGTTTCCAAAGACAAGTTTCGCTGTTCTAAGCTACAGAAGATAGAAATAGGGAAAAAGAATAAAGCAATTTATTCACTTGAAATGCAAGAGGGATTCAAATGTTCTTACCTCTGTGTCTACAGTGCTTAGGAAATTAGAAGGAGGCCTTTTAAATCAGTGACACAAGGTCAAACGATCAAAAAGGTTTTATTTTGTGGTTTCATTTTACTATTTGCTAAATGATTTACTGTCATTTCATTTGTAATAAGGCCCCAAGGCATCTTCTGGAAGCATTTAGTTGTCATAGTAGTACATGAACAAAATTTGGCCCAAAGAAACCAGAGGATCAGGTCATATAGCACTCATAGAAAAGAAGCAGGAGGCAGTAAAGGAAGGAAGCTTCCCAGACACTTAGTTCACTAAACGGAAGGGGAAAGAGGAGGAAAAACACATTTGCCTTCTGTCAAAGGAAAATTCTGATAACAATAATGTCATGGTTAGATTTAAATCCACTTCTAAGAATGGACTTTTCTGGAGCGTAAAAGAAAGTAATCAAAGTATTCAGCTGACCCTGCCAAGTGAGTTAAAAGTTTAACTTCCATTTTTATTCTTTTATTGCATTAAATTACTCCATAAAAGTGCATTCTTAGAAGTGGGCTTAAGTCTAACAATGACATTATTGCTATCACTTAAATAAGCACTGGAGGCTTTGCAAACATGCATCCCATCCAGGCAGCCAGCCTGCCATCACCAGGGTTCATTGCTTTCCAAACTGTTAGTGCATCCTGGGGTACAGGTAAATTACAACTTATAAATTGATAGCTGTAGTATTTTGGAGAACTATAGAATTTAAGGTAACTTCTTTTTTTAAAAAAAATATTTTTTTTTTAAAGAGGGGGTGGAGAGGGAACGCCAAACTCAAATATTTAAAAACTAAAAACCATATTACTTCATTGATAATTAAGCAAAGTTACATATTATATCTATCATTTCTGTCTGCTTCTATCAGTAAGTCCATCCTCAATACAGTGGGGTGGAGGTAAAAAGAAATTTAAATAAAAATTTATAACTGTAAACAGGAATAAGTTAACTTCTCCTATTGCCTTGGCTTGGGCATGTAGCACCCCCTGCTTCCTGCAGACCTCTCCGTGGACTGTCATAGGGGTGTGAATGCTGTCATGAAATGGTCCATTGAAATACCACTCTATTGAAAAGTTCTATTATTTTATCAAACTTTCTGAAATCAACCACAGATCTCAGAAGGTACATTTATCATCAACAGCCTTAGAAATGAGTGCAAACATCTCAAGCTTTAGATTGATAACATTGTTTCCTGCTCCCATTAAAAGTTTAAAGTGTTATCCCTTCCCTTGAAAGATAAGCTTTCTAGAGCAAGCTCTACCTTATTACCAAGCATTGGCTGCATTTCAGAATTATGGATTCAGTGATTTCAAAATCCATATTCAGAAGGAAGAGTGACCTTATAAGATGATGATCCTGCTTTTTTCTTATTTAAACTTCCTTTCACTCAGCATTATACATAAAAATGCAAATCATATTGCCATTCAGGGTAGCTTACAAATTTATATATATGTATATATAAATTTATATATTATATACATGTGTATATAATATATGTATGTCTATCTGCCCAATGATATAATTTTTCAGTCTCCTAAGTAATATTTTTATCTATATTTACTTTGCCATAACTTTTGAAAGTATGTTATCTTTTGGTCTGATAACTGGTAAATGGATGAGAAACATATGAAGATAAATTAATGCCATATATATAAATCTGTCCTTCTTCTGTGGCTCCAAACTCTGCAGTTACATATGACACCAAGGAACCATGAAAGCAGTGGAAGTAGGATAAATTTTTGAGGATCCTAGTACATCATGCAGGAAGAGGTCCCCCAAATCACACAGATTGAATCTAGGAACACTAGGTGGGATAACTTGAGCCTCAGCCCTTCTTTCCCTTACTAGGTAATTCAGTGTTCTTTACCCGACATGACATGAACATGAAAGCGATGAGCTTGTAATTTCTGTGACCATGGTAAAAACGCTGGGTGTGGTGATGTTCACATCCCTGGCACAAGGTTTTATTGTGAGTCTTGGGCTCTCCTCTCAGTGGAGAACTAGATATTCAAGAGTACCCTGAACACAGAACAGGTAGGCAATACCCCTTAGCTGGCCCCCACTACTGCCCTGAGCAAATTACTAAGCAAACTTCTGTTGACCACCTTATGAGAAGATGGAAATTGGTATAAAGCAGTTTTTGCATAACTGCTTCCTTAATCATCTAGCTGAACCCCACTTAGGCTATGATTCCTTTGATGATGTTAGCACAGTCCATGTCACCTCTTCTAAAATCCCACCAAGTATTCCAATCTCAGAGTAAATGACAAGGACTGAAAATGACCCCACAAAACCCTAGGACATCTTACACCTGTGGCCTCTCTGAGCTCATGTCAATCCTTAAAGTCTGAAACAAGCCTAGCTGGCAGAAGATACTTTCTCAGAATTCAGTTATTGAAAGAATGAAAACTAAAGATCTGTTTACTTTATTTTTAGCCCTAATATATACCTATCTTTTTTTTTAACCTTAACTTCATTCTTTTCTTCAAAGCAGGTTCCTTATTCTCGGTTCATTTCCTCATTCATGGTCCCTTTCCTCCCAGTCTTCTAATACATCTCCACATATTTAATAATAACATGTCGAGCACCAATTCGGTGCCAGGGACTTCCTAGGTGCTTCTGAGACAGATATTACTAGTATTTAAAATTCTTCCACTGGGAAACAGGCTCACAGAGATTCAGCTAACTTCCTTAAAGTCCCTGAGCTCACAAATGAGGACTTGATCTCTTTGCCCTTGGTACCCATTTATTTAGCCCCTTGTGATTTTTGTCCCACAGTTGCAAGATGCGGCAGTTAGGATCTGCAGATTTTCCTCACCTCTTTATCCTGGACTCATACTCTATCTTCTGTTTGGTCATTTCCTGTTTCAGGCTGGAAACTAAACTGTGCAGTGCACTGTGGCTGCTGGTGTTGTTACCAACAAATGTCTCACTGTTGTCACTGCTGCTGGTGGCACGACTACTTCGACCTCCCACGCTCCTCCGGTCACTTTTGCTTTCATAGTCCCCAGGGTGGGAAAGGTCGTCCTGTGGGGGACCATCCAAAACAGGATCCTCAAAATTCCCACCATAAAAGTCTTGCTCTGGACAGGTGGTGGTGGAGGAGCGGCAGGAATTGGAGTTCTCGGGGAGGGAGATTTCACAGGAGGAAGTGGACCAGGTGGCGCTGTCCACACTCTGTTTGTCATCGAGGCTCATCATGGAGAACTGCTGATGGACATTGTCGTAGGTGGAGAGCCTGTTGTGCTGGCCCGACTCTGCGGCTTGCTCCTTCGGCTTGTTATCCCTCAGGGTCACATAGCCGTTGGGCAGCCAGCTCATGCTTCGACCATTCACGGGGTTCCCCAGTGTGTCGGTGTTCAAAATGCCCATGCGCACTGTTCCGTTCTGCACACTGTGGGTACCCATTTTGGTTCCAGGTCCTTTCAATGAAGAGGTCCTTCTAGCTTGTAAGCTCCCATTGGGGGTGGTCTGAGTTTTCTCAAGACCCTCTGCATTGCTGCTGCTAAAGGACCCATTGGTGACTATCCCACTGCCCTTATTGAAGGCTGGGTTCTTTTTGACCATGAGAGGGGGACTCCTAGACACATCCAACTTGTGGATGCTATTCCTTGGGCTGTTGTTTTTGCTGCCTGATAGAGCTGGGGGGGATCCATTGTCCAGGCTGCTTCTCTGGGGAGACTCAGACTTGTCCCAAGAACACCGCCTGCCAGGGCTGTCCTTGGTGTTATTGTTTTCCTTGTTCTGTAACTGACCCATAGTGGCTTTCTTCTGAGTGTCGTTGTTGTTGTTGCTCACTCCGTCTTGGGTCTTGCTTTGCGGTTCTGTATCTTTGGGGAACAGACGATCGTGCTTACTAATCATCATTGACATCAGCTGCTGGACCACCACAGTGCCTGGAATGGCATAGAAAAGTAAAGTGATGTGAGGCAGTCTTGATTTATTTTTTACTTTGAATGTGACTCTTAAAAAAGCATATTTAGGTGAAATTCAAAATTATTATTAGCAGTGCTAAACTATATTCTTAATTATTGTAATAGCAATAGAAGATAAAATCTCTTGAGCATTTATTCTATGCCAATGTGCTATGCCAAGCACTTTCTTTTTGTAGTTTAGTTAGATTTTAAAACAAATATATGGATATACATTGTTATTATAACTGCATTTAAAAAGATAAGTCAAGTGCCTAAGGTCATAAATCTAAGGACCAGATTCTAGACTTGAACTCAGTTATATTGTTCCAAAGACTGGACTCCTAATTATTATACAGCATATATTACAAGCCTGATATTTGATTATGATGACTCTTTCTTAGGAAGAGGCCACTTTGACTACTCGTCTGACAATTGCCTCAAATTATTACTGCATTATGGAAATATCTTTGTTATGGTTTAAATATGAGGTATCCTCCAAAAGTTCATGTGTGAGTCAAGAAAAAAGGGGTTAGAAATGAAAGATTGTGTTATGAGGGTCCTAACATAATCAGTGTGTTAATCCACTGATAAGGACTAACTAGGTGGTAACTGAAGGAGGTGGGTCATTGGGGGCATGTGTTTAGGGTTTATATTTTATCTGTATTGAGCATAGCTTTCTCTCTCTACTTCCTGGTGTGATGTCCTGAGCTACTTTGCTCCACTACACTCTTCTACCATGATGTTCTACCTCACCCCAGGCCCAGAGCAATGGAATTGGCCATTTATGGAATGAGATCTCTGAAACCATAAGCCTCCAAATAAACTTTGGTCCTCTAGTTGTTTCATCATGTCTTTTGCTCATGGCAGTGAAGAAGCTAACAAAACATCTCTAAATATAAAAATTATCTGTGGTGCATGTATGATCTCTTTCTAATATAGTAAGATGATGAAGTTCCACATGACTTTGCTCACTATCAAAAGCTTTGGGACATTTTAAGTGACAAATCCAGAATGGTGTAGTGAGGAGCTACAAAATCCTCTTCTCCATAAAAGCACTAGCAAAAAAATTCAGAATCAACTTATTCAGAATTCTGGAAATTAACTAATGGATTGAAGCAATCTGTAGAGTGTTGATTCAAGAAAAGGGGCTGAATCTCTATAAAATCATCAAGCTCTGTAGTGTTTCAACTTGTGCTATCCCCAACCTTTTCTCCCCAGCTTTGCAATAACCTTGAAAACCAATAGTCCATAGTCATAACAAGGACCAAAAGTCTAGCAGTCCAGCAGACACTGCAATGGGTACAGGGAGATTGCAACTCCTTCAAAACTCCATTTCCAGAGAATTGTCATATTTTGACCTCTCTGTTAATTCTCTGGAATTTCCCACTCACAAGGCTTGCTTTTATTTGATCTGATTAGAAGCTTACCCAGGGTGAACAGCATTTTTTTCCAGTGACATTTGTAAAAGATAAAGATAGGCATTTATCTTTATCATTGTGGTGCCTGAGGCAATGGATAACAGTAAAGACAAACAATAAGCTAACTGAACTTAAAAGGAAAATCTTGGGGATGAGGTTTTCATAGTGGGTTTTGAAATGCTCTGATGTATTTTGGGGAACCTAGAAAACCACATGTGCAGTTCAGGTTGTGTGCATACTTAGGAAACCACTGAGAAGGCTGTAAACACTCATCTCTCTCTGAACCTGAGGCTCTGCATAAGCAGGAATTGAAGGCTAAGAAAGTGTTGTCAACTGCCTAGCTGAGTATTGATTTGTCCCAACATAAACACAGAACCCTCTGGTAGCGACAGGGAAACTCATTGACTCCAGGTGTTCAAGGAAATCTCTATCATTAGCTAACAAACCAAGCAGAGACTTTAAAGGCCACACAAAAAATACTAAAACAGACTTTACAGAATTAGTTCAGGAAAGACTAAACAAATGGCAATACACAGCAACATCAACAAACGCTAACAAGGAAAAGAATCCAATGTCCAGAATTTTCACATATTAATATTTCCTAATTTTCAACAAAACATTATGAGACATGAAAAGAATTAGGTAAGTATGGCACAAACACAAGTGTCTGTGGAAATCCATCCATTGTATTCATTAAGCAAATGCTTTAAATAAGCTACTCAAAATGTATCCAAACAACTTAAGGAAACCCCCCCCCCCAAAAAAAAAGAAGAAAAGTGAAAATAATGTGTCATCAAATAAAGAATATCAATAAAGAGAAAGTATATGTACAAAGAATTGGATATTCTGGAGCTGAAAAGTACAATAACTAAAATGAAAAAGTGAGTAGGTGGGATCAATAGCACACTTAGAAAGGTAGAAGAAAGAATCAGCATACCTGAAAATAGACCAATTGAGGTTATGCAGTCTAAGAAATGATAGAAAAATCAAAAAAATGAAAGAAGCCTCAGGAATCAATGGGGAAACATCAAATATACCAGCATAACATCTCAGAAGGAGAGGTGAGAGAAATGAACTGAAAGACTATTTCAAGAACTAGTGGCTGGAAACTTTCCAATTTGATGAAAAACATGAATATACACATGTAAGGAGCCCTTCAAATTTCAAGCAAAGGTAAATACAAAGAGATTAATACCTCTACACATCATAGTTAAATTACTATAGGCCAAATAGAAAGAGAATCTTAAAAGCATCAAGAGAGAAGTGACTCATACAAGAGACCCTCACTAAGATAAACAACTGATATATCATCCAGAACCATGGCAGCGAGGAGGCAATGTAAATGAACTTTCAAAATTTCAAATATAAAGGAGAAATGAAAAAATTCTAAGATAACTGTTTCAGTTAGCTTTTTTGCTGCTATGACTAAAAGACCCGACCAGAACAACTGTAGAGGAGGAGAAGTTTATTTAAGGGCTCACGGTTTCAGAGGTCTGGGTCCATGTTCAGCCAGTTCTATTCCCCAGGGGCTCCAGGTAAGGCTGAACATCGTGGTGGAAGACTGTGGCAGAGGGAAGTGGCTCACATGATGATCAGGAAGGAGAGAGAGAGAGGGTGAGAGAAAGAGACACTCCACTCTCCAGATATAAAACATATGCCCCATAGCCACGCCCCTAATGAACTACTTCCTCCAGCCAAGCCCCACCTGCCTCCAGTTACCACCCAGTTAATCCTATCAGGATGATTTCACTGATTAGATTAAGGCTCTGACCCAATCATTTCTCCTCCAAACTTTCTTGCATCATCTCACATGTGAGCTTTTGGCGGATACCTCACATCCAAACCATAGCAATAACAAAAACAGAGAATCTGTCATTAGCAATCTTGTTCTATGAGAACTATAAAAGTGCCAGAAAAACTTAATTAAAAAGAAAGCCTTCAATAAAGAAATAAAAACTTCTATTAGATGAAAAGTCCATGGTTCTATTTTATCCTCATAGTTTTACTCTTTACTGTAGAATATGAATTAAAAATTAATGTTGTTGTGGTTTAGATACTAGGTGTCCTAAAAAGCTAATGTGTAAGACAATGCAAGAAAATTTAGAGGTGAAATGATTGTGTTATGAGAGTCTAATTTGGTGCTTTAATCCCCTGATAGGGACTAACTGGGTGGTGACTGAAGGTAGGTAGGATGGGGCTGGAGGAGGTGAGTTGTGCCTTTGGAGTATATATTTTGTCCCTGTGGGCAGAGTAGTTTCTCATTCCCTGCTTCCTTGTGGCCATGTCCTAAGCCAATTTCCTCCACCACACTCTTCCACCATGATGGTGTACTGCCACACCTCAGACCTGGAGCAATGGAGTCAGCTGTCTGTGGACTAAGACCTCTGAAACCATGAGACCTGGGTAGACTCTTCCTCCTCTAAAATAGTTCTTGTTGGATCTTTTGGTCACAGTGACAAAAAAAAAATACTCAGAGGTTTTAGGTATAGACAAAGCAATAACTAACTAGTGGATAGAAAAGTTGATCTTTCATTGAAAGCATTAATTCAAAATATTAATTGATTTATCAGGTTCTATAGCATATCATCTATAATCTCAAAATATATATTCACATAGTCCTCTTTAATTTATAAGCAGGGTTTTTTGCTCCTTATACCTGGCTGTAACAAGTAGGCTTCTAGACTAGTTTCCCAAGTTAGGGTCCCCAATCCTCTAAGGACCTTAACTCTGCATTAATTTTAGTACAGTAAAGCAGTATGAACTCTCACACACATATCACTCATCCTGTGGCTTGAACTCTATCAAGTTTGTGTGTTCATATAATGTTGATAATAGTTCCTAAGAGTATATGGTGAATCAATACAGAAGGGCAACTTGAGCTTTAGTTAGTAAATGTAGTTTTTATATAAAAGACTTGCAATATGAGGTTTAGTGAAGAACATGATGAAAAGGGCTTTTGACAATGTGGTTTCCAGCTGCTAACTGAGGCTGTCAGAGCAGCAGCCTGGCCTGGGGCGAGGCTGCTCTTTAATTTAAAGCAACACCTCAGCAAAATAACAAGATAATTCAAACTCAAATTTGGATTAGAAGAAAATATGTTACAGCCCTATCTATACTGTACACTCTTTCTGTGATCATTCAAAATCCAATGTATTTACAAAGAGTATTTTCCATGTGTCACACCTACTGCTACACCAGTGTTGTTTGAATTTTAATGTTCATACAAACCTGGAGATCTTGTTAAATTGTAGATTCTATTCCAGGAGCTATTGGGTGGGATTTTGTCTTTCTAATAGGCTTCCAGATGACAGCAGCAATAACAGACCACTTAAATTAGAATCACCTGGGAGCTTTGCAATTTCAAGACCCCCCTATAGACCTGTGAATCAGAATTGGCATTTTAACAATATCCCTAGGTGATTCCTCTATCTGTTAGAGTTTTAGAGACACTGTGGTAGGTGAGAATGTTTCACATATAACTTTTAATTTAACTTTCTCAAAAGTTTGTGAGATAGGACTTAACATTTTTTTTTTCCGATCAGAAAATCGAGATTCTGAAAGTTA